ATTTCTCCAGAGCAGCAGTGAGCCATACTGTAATATAAAGTAGCCTTTACTTTTCTAGAGCATGAAGGAGACATTTGAACACTATGTAACATTTTCTACAGTCTCTTTTATTTCATTTTGGAATAATTTTTGATTTTGTCTTGGAATTACTATAACTGAAATGCATAGAAAGCTTCACCAATGAGCTCAGAACATTCTTGTAGTGGATGAGGCCTGGGTAGGAAGAACAGAAGTAGACTTGCTTTGTTGGTCCTGTTAGAGGCTAGCCAAAGCATGCAGCATGGCATTAAGGATATTATTTGAACCTGTTTTATTTTAAGAAATGTTCACAGCTATTACTAATAAATACTGAGATGAGGTGTTTCCTGCTGAATGAAACCATCTTCGTATTGGCCACTTTTTCCATGAATATGACAACAGCACATACACAAACAAAGGTGGCTGTTGTCCTCACTTTTGATCACTGCAAACAGCCAAGGGGTGTAGATGGCATTCTTCTGGGAACCTTCAGATAGGAGCAGTTTGTTCCAGAGTAACAGCTCCTGGCCATCCCACAGGCATGAATTTTACAAAGCTGAAAATGCTGTGTTTAGCAGGATGGCCTCCTTAGGTTTCAAGAGAAGCAAACTCTCAGTTTAAGTCTTCCCATGCTCATCTGTGCTGGCACATTGAATCCTTTCATGTCAGAAATTACCATTTCAGTGGGTGATTTTGTTATGGCACTTTTACTGTTAGGATTGCAAGGCCCTGAAACCCCAACAACATAACCACCAGCTTCCCAGAAAGAAGGCAGGATTTTATTTTTTTTTTCAGTAACAGCTTTTTTTCATCGCTTTTTTATGTCTGTAAAATATGTTTGACATATCTTTCCTTAAATTGTATTTATACTGTGCTACATAATATTACTTCTTTATACATAATCTGTCTTCTCAAATAAGCAGAAATTTAACAGCATCTAGGTTGGCAGTGATGATGTGACGCTTATGGGTAGAACTGGGCACTGAGAAAGGTATTAAAGCTGAAACAGAAATATTCATTATGCATTTATGTAACTACAGGTTTGGTTGCTCTTTCAGAGACATTGCAATCAATTGAATGGTCTGTCTTTGCTCTTTCTGTCAAGAAATCAAGGTGGATTTGTAATTGAGAATACAGACTGTTAAAACATTGAAGTAGGAGATTATGGGTTTTTTGCAGTTGCTTTTGATAGGCTTCCTCTGTACAAAAAAGAAATAAGAAGGTGCTCTCCTCATTCTAGAAGAAATTCAGAAAGTGGCTCTGGAGATCTGAAGTCCACATCTTAGCTGGCAAAGTAGGTATCATTGTCTCTGAGCTGCCTAAGCTAAATCAAGGGTGAGGTATGATAGCAGTGGGATAGCAAGGGATCAGGCAAGGATCATTAAAAAAGGGACTTGGGAGTAGATTAAAATCCCACATCCTAAGATTAAAGCAGAGGCTGAATGGACCCAGTTTGTTACACTGCAAGGCCTTTGGGCGAGTTGGGGCTACACTGAAGTTGAGGGAAATGCTGGTTTAGAAAAGACAGGACTACATGCACATGGCTTGCTAGTAAAATTGCATGTTAGAGCTCTGGAACCTTATGCACGAGAGGGAGAAACCCAGCACATGGGAATCATAGGTGAGTGAGTTTGTGGTTTTGAAAAGGTGTATGTCTTGGTTCATAGCATGCCAGTGGTATAGAGCTATCATCAGGCCACACGTTACATATCACAATGCAGCTGGATGTTGCTTTTGTGAGGGGTGGGTAGGTTTAGGTAAGAAGCTGAGAGTTACCTTATTTTGAGCTATCTTCTCTACCTTGAAGCATCTGGGAAACTGAATTTCAATAATTTGTATTTTGAAACGTATGTGTTCTGGAGTTTCCTACAAAATAGCAACACCAAGGGAAAAAAATTAAAATGTTTTGGAAATAGAACACTGTATTTTCAAAATCACGTTTGTTCTTTGGTAGTGTTGCAAAATGTGGATTATGTCTAGATTATCTGAAGTCAGGATGTTCTTTGATGTAAGATCTTTGTATACTTTCAAGCCTAATCAGCCCTCTGCAACCTTCACTGGGTACTGGCATGAGGAAAAGCAATTAAGGACATATTGATCTCTGCGCCAATTTCAAAATCTACCCCCAGGAGTCTGACCTACTTTGGACTAAGCTTGTTCATTGGCAGTCTCCTCCCTGCTCCCAAAAGCAGCTGCATCAACAAGGACACTGCTGCTTTCCCAGATGAAAGTGGGGAGATATTGATGTCCCCCAGGTTGGATGGAGCTCACAGCTGGTAACACTTAGGGGGATGCATCAGTGCTGGGCAGATACATCACAGCTGCCTTCAAAACATACGTTCTCAGCCCAACCCAGACCTGGAACCTGCTAATAGAGTACCTGGAAAAATCAGGGCAAACATTTTTAATTTATTTTTAGATCTGTCAAGACAGATCTAGCCTGAAGTCCTAGAGAGACTGTAATTATGGGGTAATCTGCAAGGCCTTTGCTTTTTGGAGTAATTTACAAAAGGGAAACAGATGAAGGCAGCAGCTTTTGCCTTCAAGTTGAAACAAGGTATTGCAGATGTTTCCACAAAGAGAGCAGAGGCACTGGGCAGGAGAAGGCTTCTCAGTGCAGGGAGCTAGCTCTACATCACTTCCACCTGCCCCCTAGTCCAGACACCAGTCCACTGCAGATGGACAGCACAGGCTGTACAGATGAGAAAAGAGAGGTGTCAGCTCCCAGTCACCCTAGACAGTCCTGCATGGATCTCTCCCTCCCTAGCACCTGCCAATCCTTTTTCTCTTTCCTTCTGGGAGGCTTCCTCCTGAACGAAGAAAGGATCTGATCTCATTTTTCCCCAAGAACTGCAACACACCAGTTGCCACAATTGAGATGCTTTTTCTCATGTAAAGCAAAACCCAAACTTGAATGCAGACCATCTTGTCACAATACCTCTGATTTTCCTGCAATTTTTCCATATGGGAGAAGGAAAGTAAGGGGTGCATTTCCCTGCCAGAATTGCTTCTTAGGAATTAAAATTACTGCAACATCTACTGGATTATTATTTTATATTATTACATATATGAATAAGAGTATGCTTATGAGTATATATCTGGGCTATATGGGGGATGCTGAATTTAAGTGGCAATCAAATACTTACCTCTCCCTCACCTTCTTCCATTTGCCTAGCATTAAACTGTCATGTATCATTGGAAGTTGGACTGTTAGAGACACCTTATGACAGAAGTGCTTGAGGGGGAGCTGTGTTCTGCCTCTGATATCCTGGGAAAAATCTCCAATAAATCAGTCTCCTCTGAACTGAGATGTAACAATAAGGAGGACAATTGCCCTCTACTAAAATTCATAAACTTTACAGACTCTGGGTCTGAAAATAATATGATGAAGCAGATTGGATGTCTAGTAACACTGCTAGAAATGAGCAAAGAACAGGGTGAAAGAAACCAGAAATCCTGCTCACTAATACAATGGACAGTTGGGGGCAGAGGGGGAATCAAACATGCTCTGTCTACCTACCCTTGCCTGAGTTTGAACTCTGTCATTCATGAATCGTGTACAAATGGAAGCTTGAAGGGCAAGAAGTGGTGCTGGGCTGACAGGCAGGAAGAGTACTGGAATGTGATCCAGGCTGTGTAGCCTCTCTCTGCCACTGGCCTCAGCTGACCTTGGGCTTTTGACTCCCAGTGCCTCAGTTTCCCCATCAACACAGTAAATTCTGCTCTTCATAAAGTGCTACTAGCAGGGAGGATGAGGGGAGCTGTCTACACTTAGGTAAATTTGGTTTTGCTGGTTCATTTTATCTAAAATAGAAATACAATATGATAAGGGAAAGGCATCCAAAATTTACTGAGGACAGAGGTGAGGCAGGCCGGGGCGGTGAGGCAACAATGTTCCCATCAGACTTTTGGAAAGTAGCTTATCTGCAAAATAACTTGAGACTTAGCCAGGCCCCAGACCTGAGAGCAGCCAGTGGGCAAGTACAGAGGTGGAGCTTGCACTGAGGCTGTTTGTTAGATATAAAATGCTTGGATGGGTCAGTGCTGACCATAGCACCCGGGAAGTGGCTGAGGGGAGCTGTGCAGAGCAGCACTGGACATGGGGACAGCAGCCCCAGCCCTTTTGGTACTGCTCAGCCTAAGAGTGACTATTTGTGATGCTGAGGACACCTGCTCAGGTGAGTAAAGCACAAACCTTACTGCCATCTCATTGAGAAAGCCTGTTTCATCTCCCCTGATAAGAGAAAGAGGTTGGGAAGGGAGGGGGGAGAGGGGAGAAGTAGCATATGGGTTTTTTTCCTTCTATGCTTTTTTAAATTCAGCTGCCAGTGGGAGGAGAGTAAGGGGAGGCTGAAGTCTCAGCAGCTGTTTAAGAAAGCTACTGGCTCCAGTTAGTGATGTAACATCGTTCCCTGACCAGTGGGGTGTCTAGGAACAGACAGTCTTCAGTGAAGTTTCCCCCCCCCCCATTTGGTATGTTTTTAGTAGGGCTGCCGTGCAGTTACCAAACGATACAGAACAATACAAAGGATCAGTCTGGGGATGCTGCACAGCACAGCATTCTGACTGTATTCCCCAAGAAGGCCTGGGGCAATTTCAAACAGGTCTGCCATCAGGAAATTTAGAAGAACTCTTACCCTTACTGTCCACAGATCCACCAGTGTCACTTACTCTGCTATCAATACCCCACTGGGGCACCTCTCAGCTTATGTTTTATTAACTACAGTACATTTGTCATGCATGCAATGTCATATATATCAGCCTCCTCTCCTACTGAACTCCCCTGAAGCCAGAGAGATACAGAGTCTGGCTCCTCTAATATGTGAGATCCTCACTGCCATCTGTCAATCCATTCAACACCCTGATACTTCCATACTCAATGCTTTTGATTACACTGTTCCTCAACTTCAAAGGATTTGGTTTCCTCTCCAAGACATTTCAGAGCCTTAATAATCTTCACAAAGACTGTCTTCATTTCTCAGAGGTGAGAATAGTGGGACTGCGTGATGCTGACCGACTTGCCATTCTTCAAGGATGTCCAGGGATCCCAGGTGTCTCTGGCCCAAAAGGAGAAGCAGGTCTCCCAGGAACAAAAGGTGAGGCCCCCAAAACCAGTGATCAACACTGTGAGATGAGATGGTTTTGTTCCTTTGCATAGGAGAAGCAAGCTGAGGCTGGAGCAGTAGCTGGCCTGGCACTGGCTGCTGTGAGGAACTGGAGAACTGGAGTGAAAACCACCCCAATTAAACATATGCTGGTACACATGGAGTGACCTGTTTCTTCCTTAAGTCCTGTCACAAATCTGATGTGATCTTGGGGTGTGAAGTATCTCATTCGTTTCTTCTACAGAAAATCATCCATTTATTTTTTGGGTCTGTATTCAAGAGTCTGGGTGGGAGGGAGGCTGAAATGCTCCTGCCTGTTTTTTGGGGAACAGTGTAGGAAATGTACTGGCAACCCCTATTCCGGGGAGTAAGGGAGATGGGGTTCCTTCAGAGTTTTCATAGCCAACTCACAGAGAAGGTCAATCATGTCAGCTGAGCGAGATGATCCACCATAGCAAAATCCATGGACTGGCTCCACGATGTATCAAAGCTCATAAGAATTCATATGTGAACTGCAAATTTAGACTTTGAATGGCAATACCAGTGTACTAAGGCTTCAATAGAAAAAAAGGAGTAAGGTAAAAGAGTAAAACTAAGTTACAAGACTGAATCTGATTACCTCAGCTCCCCCATTTCTGTGAAAGCCAAGGCCCAGTTGCCCAGGCTTCTTTGACTCCCAGCTCTGGTCAGTTTGTAACATGCACATAAAAAATTAATCTCTTTGCAGGAGAAATGGGAGACCAGGGATTCCCCGGGAAAGCAGGACCACCTGGTGCAAAAGGTAATGTGTAACATATGCAGCTCTAATCTGTAAATGCCCCCAAGCTCGGGACATGCGTTAGGAGACTGGGTCTACAGAGATGAACTGCAGGACTGGCCATAGGCTAAGAAACGGTGCTGAAGTAGCATAGGAAAAGCCTGATTTGGGGTATGGCTCTTGCATGGAGTGAACACTAGAAACAGCGTCCTTGAGTGTCTGGGACCACAACACAGAAGAAGATACCACTCTTCTCAGAATTTCTCACTGACCCTAAAATCAGACCTCTTCCCATTCCCTATTCCTACCCTAACTTGCCCCCAGCACAACAAGCCTGCCCAAATGCCCCCAGCCCTGAGGAGCTTTGGAGCTCTCCATGGAGCTTCCGCCCAGAGGCCTGATGCAGAGGCACTATGCTGAGTGCTTGTTCTGCCAATTCACAGGGGCAATTTAAAGAACATACCAATGGAAAGAATGGTCTTATTTTACTATGAATATAGAAGTAATACGTAAGTTAAATAGTACATTCAATAAAACTATATGCTTGGCTTTGGCAACAAGCAAAAAATTAGCAAGGTAATGCACCTGATCATTACTTTACAAGAGGCAGGATAGTGATTTAGAAGGATACATCACTAATTTCCTAAGTACTTTAACATCATCCAGTTGCTGGGGAGCCCTGTTTCACAGAGAGGACCTGGACAACCCTTCCTGGCAATTGGGGAAATCCTGCATGGTGTAGGAGATCCCATAGGTGAGGTCTCTGGATTTCCCCTGAAAGGGAGTCCAGTGTTTATAGGCCCAAATCAGCAAGTCAAAGTGACTCGATTTTATTTTTAGCTCAGGAATGCCTGAATCTGATGGCATGCTTTCCGCTTAGCCAGGGCCAGCGCTCAGCCAGAGCCCAGGTCTTGGCTGGGAGGGTTTTCCCCTAAAATACCTTACAAACAAGCCTCTCAGTTGGAAAAGTTTCTTAAAATTATACATTTCTTGCAGATAGCTACAGAAGGTTATAAACAGTTAGCATAAGCATCTTTGTCATCTATTTTTAGGTAAATAATACTGATGGTGTTAGTCACACAATATTCACGATCCATCTTGTAAGTCTACTCTGGCTCAGCCCTGCTGCTCAGGCCTAGGCATATCATTGCTTTCAGCAGCCTTCAGCCTCGGTGTGCAGTGCCCACTTGACCACAAGAACGAGATCAAACGTTGGCACAGAATGAGGTTTCCTTTGTAATGGGATGAACCCCTGAAGAGGACGATGTTTATTGAGAAACTGGCTTTCACTGCCCAGGCTTGCTTAGGACCTTCAGCAGGAACGTGCTGCAAATACTGGAAAAGTGTCTCTACTAAAGAATCCAGCTGCCAGCACAAGGGAACTTGTGTAGGGACTGAGCAGCACTGACTAACTAAAGGGAAGACACCCCTTTTTACATGCTGAATATGAAGCTATTTCCTGGCCAAAAGTACCCAAGACTTGAACTGAAATGCCAGCAGGAGATGGACAAAACCACTGAAAAACCCTATTGATCAAAATCTCCTAAGTGCCTGACTGTAAAGAGAAAGCCCCCACAAAAAGTCACTGAAATGGAACTGTGAAGCCCCATACATTCCAAGAGATGGAGAAGCAGCTCTCTCTCCTCTATATCCTGCTCTTCTTGCTGTTCCTGAGAGATACTGCTGATCAAGAGAACAGCCAGGCTGAGGCAGCAGCACCACCTGGGACACTCAGCCAAGCACTGTAGCTTTGCTCCTCTTGACAGCCTCTCTTGTACATTTGAGACATATTGAGGGGCTGGAGCAGCCATTTGTAGAGGCACAGTAATTCATTTGCATTGGATAGTCTGTGATGAGCATTTTCCTCTTGTATTTTGTAGGAGCAGCTGGAGAGCCTGGCTTCCCAGGACTGAAAGGTAAATCACGTTGTGCTGAATTTATCATGTGAGCTACTTTGTAAACTTCTACCCTGTGCTGTTCTCCTACATCAGATGAGAGCAGTTACAGAGACTGGATGGGGCTGTTTGCTGACAGTTATACCTCATCATAGGCTCTGCCCTGGTGCAGGTGCTGTGGGTAGTCCTGCTCCCAAACCAGATGTTCAGCAGCAGGTGCTGTCCTCAACTCAGGCAGCTGGTGCTGCCACCTGGCACCATCAGCTGCAGAAGCCACAGGGCTGAGGGACCAGCCAGATTTGGGCAGAGCTCTTAATATTCTCATGCTATGGCAAAATGCAGAGGCTCAAATGAAATTCAGTTGCTGCTAGTGCCAGAGGAACGTGTCTCTACCAGCACTAGCAATAAGGTATTAGGGAAACGTGGGTTTTTTTCCCTTATGCCATCATCCTGCATGTGAAGGCCAGAGGCACCCACCACTGAGCATCAGTCTGCACTGTGGCTTCCCTCTCTGGAATTTGGCTGGCAATCACTGGGTCCAACACCACTGGTCTGGCAGATGGTTCTAGTGCTCCAGTTGTCACTGCTGCTCCCAAACCACTGGCTGAAGCCCTGTACCAGCAGCAGCCATTCCCCTGATGGGACTTGTAACTCTGCCTTTCCAAGGTGCATTGCTTCCTCCTTCCCACACTCACCCACTCCTATCCCACATGTCCTAGCCCAGTGGGACTCACTGGCACAAACTGCTGGTAGACAGCTCCATGGGCTGCACAGCAGCAAGCAGAGCAGCTGGGTCCAACAGAGACATGTCCTGTGTCAGTCTCACCATTTGGACCTCTAAGCCCTAAAACAGATGCCAGCAGGAATTAGATCACGCCAGGGCCAACAGGCCAAGAGAGGCAAGGCTGCCACTCCTTGTGCATAAATAGATATTATATATATATATATATATATATATATATATATATATATATATATATATATATATATATATATATATATATATAAATAAAATTTATATTTATAGTGTACCCCCCAGTGGCCGCCCCATGATGTACCTTCTGGTCAACCTGGAGAGCTCTTCCAAGTGTCTGAAGCAGCTGGGTGTCATTGCTGTAGTTACAGGGGTTTGTGACTTGGCTTCCCACTTCCCACCTGCCTCTCTGTGCTTTCCTAGGTCTGTGCAGATAGGCTGGTGGGCCTCCTCTGGTGGGCCTGGTAGCAGCCAGGACAGCTTATACTGAGCAACCCTTCCTACCTGCTTTCTCTATGCCTTTCATTTGCTTGGTGCAGATGAGCCAAGCACTTCCTCTAACATAACAGCTGTCCAGTGCAGCAGGATTTGTCTTGGCAAATCTCAAGTACTGGGAAGGGGAGTGCTGGGTATGGAAGGTGAAGAGCAATTGATGGTGTTGTTTGTCCAACAGGAACAAAAGGAGAGCCTGGATTTCCAGAAATATGGGGTAAGTTTCATCCTAGGTCTTCACAACACTGGTTAGCTTTGCAGAGTGGATGGTGGTGGACTACCTCCACCAGAAGTCAGGACAGGATAGGAATAGAAACAAGTTCAGAGTGATATTGAAGAATGGAGTAAGGAAATATCACTGTTATCTTTGCATCTCACAGACACATGCAGCTTCTGTGGGTCTACTCTGTACTCCAGCCATGCTGAGAAAGTCAGGTCCTCTGAGCACTACTTAAATGTCCTGTTCTCCATGTGTCCTGGAGGAGGTCGATTTGAATTTTTCAGAGACTTGGTGTCCTGATTTCTAAGATGAAACCACTGCAAACACCTGTATGGACATGTGGCTACTTCAAAGGCAATTATACTCCTGCACTTGCAGTGACACCTTTAGTACTTGCGGAGTTCATATGTGTGATAGTGTTCAGACTAACTTATTCACTGGAAGAAAAAAAGAAAAATAAAAGAAACAATTTTCAGTTGCCCCATCCATCTCCATGAACTAAAGTTCGAGGACAGCTACAACCTGCTCTGGCTACAGCTGGGTGCTGTAGGGCCACAATAAAGGCTCAGACAGATCAAAGCTGCTGTAACACCTGACAGATTGGGATGCCACTGAACTGGTTCCTTGCTGCCCCAGACACTTCTCTGGGCATGTAAAAGATTTGACTAATAGGAAGGAAAAGGCCAAGCCCAGGACCATCTCCCTCCTAGGAGAGCAGGATACCCTGCCTGGTACAGCTGTGTATGCATGTATCACACACAGCACACTGGGACACATGCACCACCAGCGCCACCATCTCTGATCATCCTCCCAGGCTTTCCTAAAACAACTACTGATGCAGCTGTAGGTTGGGATGTCTGATAGGGACAATTCAGTCTCCTGTGAATCTGAACTTCTGTCAGCAGGTATGGTTTTGGGGAGGGAAAAAAGTATACATAAGATGCATATATATGCACACACACACACCCACACACATATATATATACAGGTACATATTCAAAAGCACTTTGTTTCTTGGGGAGACCTTAGTGTGGCCTTCCAGTACTTAGGGGGTGCTTATAAAAAAGCTGGAGAGTGATTTTTTTGCATGGGCACTGACAGGACACTGTCACTGTGTGATTTACAGAACAATTTACAACTAAAAGAGGAGAGATTGAGATTAGATATTAGGAGATGATTCTTTACTCAGAAGGTGGTAAGACCCTGGCACAGGTTGGCCAGAGAAGCTGTGGCTGCCCATCCCTGGAAGTGTCCAAGGCCAGGTTTGGATGAGACTTGGAGCAACCTCATCTAGTGGAAGATGTCCCTGCCCATGGCAGGGCGTGCAATGAGATGAGCTTTAACGTTCCTTCCAACCCAAACCGTGGGTGATTCTATGATTCAATCCATAAAGGATGAGCTGAACACTGTTCACTGCCTCACAGGGAGCTGTCCTGTGTCACTAACTCCTTTGCTGTCAACTGCACACCCACTCTCTGTGCCCTGCATACATTCTGGAGCTGGGACAAATTTCTGGATCATGAGTTTGTCATCTTTTTCAGAGCAGTTCCATCATCCAGATCCCCAAAAGTCATTGCAGATGAGAGGAGTCTCAGCACCTTAGACTATCTTTCTTAGAAGGTGCCCATCTCCCCTGCAACATATGGGCCCAGAAGCCAGGGCAGAGCTTGGCTCCCAGCAGCTCTACACTAAGATCCTGCAGTACAAAGAGCCACCTGGTTGCTGAAGGGATCAAAGGCTCAAGGCTAACGTGCTCCTTTGATTATAACTCACATTATAACTCTTTCCACTTGATCTCTTTGATTTGTACAGAACCGGGGAACTGCCAAGAACTGTTGGCCAAAGGGAAGATTTTGAGTGGCTGGTACACAATCTACCCCCAAGACTGCAATGCCACCACTGTCTTCTGTGACATGGACACGGATGGTGGGGGATGGATTGTGAGTAGGATGAGGAGAGGGAGGTTTACATGTTCCTACAGAGATTCTTGTTAAGGCTGCAAAGGATGGCTCAAAAATAGAAACACACAGCTGAAGTTCACACCTGCAAGCCAGAGAGAATCCCTCTGGACGCAGGGGATTCCCCCAAGACTTGTCTCTGGAAGCAGGCTGAGTGCCACAGACCCACTCCCTGCTTAAATCAGAAAATAATTTCCTTTTCATTTCCAAGGACATATGGAAGAGATCATTGAGCAAGGGATTCTTGTGGGATTTGCTCCCCAGACACCTACAAGAGTGTCCTGATGCAGGGGAAGCATTCACCATGGTGGGCATGTCCCCCAGGAGCTGTGGGTGCTTTTGAGTGAGGGATGGGCTGGTAGGGCTGAGGGTCTCTTTCAGGTTTTTCAGAGGCGCTGGGATGGGTCAGTGAACTTCTTGCGAGATTGGGATTCATACAAACGAGGCTTTGGCAACCAGCTGACGGAGTTCTGGATGGGGAATGAGAACATCCACTTCCTCACCTCTCTGGGTAAGGTCTGCCTCTGTCCCAGGTTGGGGCCATGAGAGTCCAACCCCTATACCACATTGGGTCATTGCAGACCTCTGAGTTTCTCATATTCATCTGAGGCCCCCACTGTTAATCCCAAACAGGATGCAGGCTCTTGCAGCCTACTGCACACTGGAAACTGAACTCTAAAAAAAAGCAAAACTAGAAGTCAGGGAAGAGAATGAACTAGCTGCATGATCTACCCTGGAGACAGGCCAACACATCTTCCTACTTGGACTGTTTATGATGGCATCATCTGGTCCATACACAGCCTTGGAGTTACAGCTGTGTGCAGGTCTCCTGCCCATGACCACCCAATATCATATCTGAAAAGGTGCTTCCCTAGAAAACCATCAAAGGTATAGGAGGCTCTGCAGGAATTTTAAGGAAATCAAAATCTCTCAAGTAGTGGCAGCTCCTCTCAAGTTAGCTCACAGCACCTTAAACCCTCCACTCTGAAATCCAGTGGCATACTCACCATCTGCCCTGCACCACTGCTGTCCATCTTCTCTTCTAGGACCCTGTGAACTCCGTGTTGACCTCAGAGACTTTGAGAACAACTACTATTTTGCCAAGTATGCTTCATTCAGAGTTTTAGGAGAGTCAGAGAAATACAGGCTGATTCTAGGAGACTTCCTTGGTGGAAACGCTGGTAAGTTTGAGGCAGCTCACTGGGAAAGTCTGTTTCCTAGAGCATTTCAGAAGTGTTCAGCTTCTATGCAGAGATGTATCATGCACACTCCTTGTATCAGCTACATTTTGGGTCAGTTTTTTAAAACTGGCCATGGTACCTCAGGTACTGAGTGACCTCTGGGTACAGGGATGGAGGGGGACATGCATCACCCGAAGAAATGTGATTCAGAGCATTACCTTCAAGACCAGCCCTATGGTTTAGCAGCAAATGAGCCTGGTCCTGGGCAACACCCCATCCAATTGACCTTCCCAACAGCTCTGCATCAGCCAGGTCAAGGTCTGCTTTTGGTTACATTGGCAGGAGACATTTGCCCAGGAGGTCTAGCATTTCTAGGGCTGGGGTGCTGTTCAATACCTGCAGCATCAGCACTCCATCCTCTTAATACCCTATTTTTAATATTTTTTTTAAGTAAACAAATCTTCTTCAAAATTCAATATCCATCATTCAGGAATGAGTGAAACCAACACCTGAGAGCAGTGCTCTAGGTTTCTGTGGCTTTGCACACTGCAACCTTGTCTGGTAATTCAGACCTGTATATCTGCAGAGAACCTGAGCATTCCAAGAGAAGTGACATCTGTGTACCTGTGAAAAGAATCTGGCCCACTTGATTCACAGGCATAGATAAATTCTCCATTTGTTTTAGCAGAGCTAAGGATACTTTTGTCCAAGACAAGGAGGAAACCTGGGCAAGAGAGCAGCAGGATTTATACAACCTGCCTTGCACCTGGGAAGGGCCACTGGTGCCCAGCAGGGGTGCACAGACACATCAGTGTCCTGTTTGTGATCCCTACTGCATTAACTGTGAACATGTGCTCTCTGCAGGGGACTCTTTATCGTACCACAGGGACATGCCATTTTCAACAACAGATCACGACAATGACATGAGTTCCTTTAACTGTGCCACAGAATATAAGGGAGCGTGGTGGTACAATGACTGCCATTACTCCAACCTGAATGGGATGTACTGGATGGGTGCGCATGGGAGCTATGCTGATGGCATCAACTGGAAGACAGGCAAAGAATACCACTACTCCTATAAGCAAACGGAAATGAAGTTCAGGCCAGTTTAATATGGTGACAGGGTGCCTGACTAGGTCCAAGAGGTGCCACTCACCCACCAACAGAAGACACAAAACAATGTTGCTTGGGGACAAAAATGGACCAGAAAGGGTACTACAGGTTGTCCTTTCTGCCTAGAGCAGGATTTTTGAAGCCAGAAGATATCGGTACTGGTTTGAGCTTCTGTAAGCACCAGATCCTGACCCTCTCTCACCCTGACTACCTTCAGCAGCCCCACTGATGCAGACTGAGCCCAAGCACCTTCTTCTGAAAAGTGTGTTATCTTGATTTAAAGACCAGGTGATGAGTGGGGCCAGTGCACCTCAGTAAAGCTCTCTGATATTACGACCCTAAGTGGTAATTGCTGCTAATCTCCAGTACAATCCATGTATGTGAAGACTCCAATATGCATGCAGCCTCTTTCAACTGGACCCAAGAGCCATCCAAAAGGCACTGAATTCCTGACCTGTCCCACTCTCCCTGCAGGCTGTGATGGAGCCACAACATAGAACAGTATGGAAAAGACTGAGCTTCCAGCACAGTATGTAGGAATCCACAAAATCTGAGGGTTTTGGGAAAGCTGCAAAAGGCAGGCCTCAGAGACAGCAGAACTGTGATTAGAGCTAAGCAGTAGCCATGAGATAGGTCAGCAGAAAAATTATTTAAAAAGTAGAAAAGCAAGGACAAATAGAACAATGGTCTGTGTATTAACATTTGTCTAGAATAACTCCCTAAGCTACAGAAAAGTTTATCTAGCAAGATATTAGGAAGTTTGAAGTTAATAATGTGCATTGTGTTTTAAGGCTTACAAGTAGGTATTGTATTCGAAATAAGCAAGCATTGTTTTAACCAAAGGTACATGTGCTTATAGTGGTTGGATAGAACTACTGTCAATATGCTTTTGCTTTGTGTGATTGGTCAAAAAACTTATAAAGTTGTAACATTGAGTTCTTGGTCTGCTGCCTGGGATGTGAGCTGATGGCATCTTCCTATTGTCATAACCATGTAATGAGACTGATGCTGGAAAATAAAACAGCTCAAGGCACGGTCCACAGCAGTCCCATCCTGTTTGGGATTTGTACACATACCCCCGGCCAGCGATACAGTGCTATCAGCACTACCAGTTTCCCATTTCTTTCCCCACATGTTCCAGGACCTCAGGTGGGACCCCAGCTCCTGGAACCACAGCAGAGTTGCTCAGCACTTCCCACCAGGACACAGCTGCAGCTGGGCCCAGAGCCAGCTTTAGCCATTCTTCCAGGGCATGTTTCTAGATCTCATTAGTTGCTGTGGACCAAGAGCTGTATGCAAAACAGTCTGTTCAGCATCATGTGTCGTACCAAGACACTATAGCAGTTCCAAGTCAAGCCTTGCATATGTGGTCATCGTTTACAGTGCCAGTACCTTCCACTTCATCTCGTTTCCAGCAGCGTTTGAGGGTGGCCTATCTGCTGGTGGGTGGACACAGTTCACCTGCTTCATGTATTGTATTTGACTATTAGCAGAACTGGGTCTCTTCTTCTTGCAGTTATGCTGCTGGACTCCTCGCCATAGCTGACAGAGGAGACCCAAGTGCTAACTCTTCACTGCAGGGATAAACAGAGACAGCAGAAATAGAGTATTTCTTTGTGTTATGTTTCTAATGGTCCCAGGTTTATTTCACTGTATATTGCACAGATATGTAGGAAGGGCAGCTCCAGCCCTACAAGACAGAATACAAACCCTGTGGGTGAGAAAAGTGAGAAGGTCGCTCAGCCTGCCACAGCAGGTCAACAGTGCGCTAAGAAATAAACCTGAAGGTTTGCATCTCCCCACTCACTCCTGTCTCAGTTTACTTCTTTTCAGTTACACAAGAAAGAGTGTGTCTGAGCAGAGAAGTGCACACTGAAAGCCTCATAGTTACTTCTCCCTCTCCAGGAGCTCTGTCTTGTTTTTCTGCTACTCCCAATAAGATTCACGTGCCCTCACCAGTACCAAGGTCCCAGAATATTCCGCTGTATTTCACCCATCTGCTGCTGATGCTGTCTTCCAGGAGTAGCTTCTCAGAGGTGCAAGGTACTACCAGAAACTTCTCTACAGAGATGTATAAGCAGGTGCTGATATAGTCCGCTATAAACTAGCTAAAAGTGCTAAATTCCCTTTCTCTGCTCACCTCTAGCTTCTCCTCTTACTACACAGAAACCTTCAATGCTTAAATTTTGCTTGTAAAGGACACTGATGAGACTTTAAACAGACAACTTACTACACAGAAATAAAAGAACTACTAGTAGGTAAAATACAGTGCATGATAAAGGTACCTATATTATATCTAGTGAAGAAATAGTATACATTAAGATTCAGTGTAATTTACCACTAAATGGATGAGGGAGTGTTGAGGGTTTCTTGCAGGACAAAGGACATATATGCACAATCCAGTCTTCGTAGAAACTGAATAAGGTCACAATGCCCTTGAAGAACACAAAAGAAGAAGAACATGCTCAGCGGCAGACAGTTCAGGATGTAAAGGCAGACAAGAAAACCGCAGTGAGACGCATGAAGATGAAATACTAACTAAAATTAACTGAAAGCTTAAAACGCATGCACAGAAGGATTTAACCAATCATGTATTAGCTTGAGGCATGAACAATAGAACACAGTATAAATATAGCTTGCTTTTTCAATAAATTGGCTTCACTCGATCACATTGATCATGGTGTGATGTCCCATTCCTGATCCTCCGCAATAATGGAGTACACATCAAATTCTTCCTCTCAATTCCCAGGAAAGTAACCATGGAATTTGCATCCAAACTCCAGAGAGAAGTTCCTGCATGTTTCCAGGGAGTATGTAAGAAGTTTCTACCTCCACAAAAATTTGTGTAGCTTTTATAGTTGTAAAAGTAGTGTCTTTCAGTCAAGAATTTCTAGCTTATCTCCCCACATCTGTTCTCACATCCAGTTGTTTATTGGGAGTTCTACTCCTGGTGCCAGAGAGAGAAATAACACTGCTCTGTGCAGTGTAGCCCCAGCTTCCTGCTGAGCAGCACAGTCACATCACTCCTCAGTGAACTGCCACATCACTGTTACAGTGCCTTCAAACCTGACCTCCTGAATAATCTTTTCGGGAGGCTGGTGCTGTAACACCACTTTGTGCAGTTTTTGACAAGCCTGCACATGAATTTATGTTACCACTTGGTCGGTCACATGGCTGGCACAAACCTGCATGCCTCCCAAACACAAGGCTCAGTGCTGTGCCACTACCAGCTCCCTGCACTCCACAGGAACGTGGCTTCTCTCCCTCCAGTGCCATCATGCTGAGCTCTGGCTCAAGGCAGCAGCTAGCATGGCCCCAGAAACATCCACCCAGCACTTTACAGGAACAGCAACAGCAAAAGACAAGGTCAAACTTTTCTCCTGATGTCCACCATGCCAAACCAAAGTTTCTCTCAGTCAGACATTGCAGCCTTTCTCATCATAATCTCACTGAAAGTCAAAGAAGTTGATCAATAGGTAACTCATGTAAGCATGAGTTAACTATTAAGAATTAGCAAATATTAATCACAAGCCTAAGAAGCAGGACACACCTTAGCCTTGTCAAGATAAGAGACACAGAATGCACCTTGTCAAGGTAAGAGGAACAAAACCTATTAACAGCAGAAAATGCTGAACCAGCCAGCAATGGATGTGCATGCTTCAGAAAGAAAGTTTAAAAGTGCAAAGTGAGGAAGACTACCAGCCTTCATCAGAACGACCACTGAGGAAGACTTGGACCCTTCTGTGCGACCAACACAGTACACTGTGCTTGCGCATCACATATGCTAATGATATTAATGATTTCCGAGAAGTAATTTGTATCACCACTCCAATCCCAAGGAATGTAATGAATATGCATAAAATTTAGCCATATATTGTGCTGTGTAAAAGCGCTGAGTGCTGAGAAGCACTCCCCCACGTACCCAGCACCAAATAAAGCAAACACCGGCAGCCGGGTCGAGCCGCCATAACAGGCCCGTGGCGGTCGCGTGGTCACGTGAAGGGACGCTGAGTCACCACATGATCCAGAAGCGGGGGGTCACTTGACCAGTGCCTGCGGGGCGGCGCTCGCTGCGCGGTGCAGGCGGAGCGGCTGCTATGGAGTTGCTGCTGCTGCTCTCGGCCCTGCTGCTGCTCCTGCCGCTGCCGTTCGCCCGCGCTGCTCCCGGTGGGTGTTTCGGGTCGGACCCTTCTGCCTGTCACCCCTTCTCCTCGGGCCGGACCCTGCTGCCTGACTTCCTCTTTCCTCGGCCAGAGCCCCGGCCCTCCCATGGACGGGACCCTCTATTAGCTTTTCCAGGCCCTGGGTAGGACTCCGAACTAGCCTCGCTGGGCCGGAGCCCTCAGCTAGCCTGGGGTGCACCGAGAGGGCGCTCCGAGCTCCCCGGGTCCCAGTTCCCAGGCTGGGTTGTGCCGTACCGGGTGAACCTCTTCTGTTGTCGGTTTCCCCTGTGCTGATGATGCCCCCTCCAGCTGCCCGGGTCGTGTGGCCCGGCCTGGAGGAGCGGCTCTTTCCGCAGGTGCGGGACCACTTCAGCTTCGAGACCTGCGGCAACGAGACCTTCCCGCAGCGGTACCTGGTGTCGGGTAGGTCCCGTGGGTGCTGTGGCTTCGGGCTGGATTCCTTTCTGCTCAAGTTTTAACTGCCTCTGTTCCAGTGTAAAGTAGGAGCTAGAGCACTGGGCAGCCAAGAATCAGTGTTAGCCACGGGCCAGACCTGTACGAGCCAGGCATTCCCCAGCATTGTCTATATCCTCCTTTCCTTTTTAATCCACTTTTTACAAAGGCATGTACTTATAGAACAAGGGGGCCTGGATTTAAATTGAGAGTAGGCTTAGACTGTATATTAGAAAGGAATTCTTCCCTGTGAGGGTGGGGGAGGCCCTGGCACAGGTTATGTAGAGGAGCTGTGGCTACTCCATCCCTAGAAGTGTCTAAGGCCAGGTTGGACAGGGTTTGGAGCACCCTGGGGTAGTGGAAGGTGTCCCTGCCCGTGACAG